ATTTATTCAAATAAAAAAAAATGAGATTTGGTATGTTAGTATATGACATAAATTAGGATTGATTGATGTATTCCATTGTTTTTGGTCACTTTCTGTTTCACCGGAAATGACTACAAGTTTTGATTTTTAAATGACACCCTAGGTATTTGTTTACATTATTCGATAGAAAATGACACTCTGAATAGAATGACACATCATATATCAAATTTTGCCATTTCTCGCATATGATTTATTGACGAAACACCAAGTGTGTGGTATCAAATTATTCGTAAAAAAATGCTTTTTCCAAATATGCTAATGAGCCACCCTGGATCCATTTGAAAAAGTTGTAATATGATTAAAAAAACGAGTTGGACATCTTTTAACCGGCCAAGACAAGACACGAAAAACATTAGGCGATCAAATCTATTTTTCCAAGGCCCCTTGATTAAAATATATTGCTTTTAACACAGCCATGACACTCTAGATTGAAATTTAAAATGCGATTTATTTTTAAGCAAAAATGTCAAAAGTTGACATCTGATATGTCATTCTATACCGGGAGTGCCATTTAAAAATCAAAAGTTGTAGTCATTTTCAGTGAAACAGGAAGTGACTGAAAACAAATGAATACGTCAATCAATCCTAATTTATGTCATATACTAACATACAAAATTTTTTTTTTTTTTTTATTTTTACCGTTTATCTGAAAAAATAAAAAAGTTATAGTGTTGAGACGCACTGCATTATTATAATGATTAGGAAAAATTTGGTATACTTTATAGAAAAATATTAAACAAAAAAATGTTTAATTAAAAAAAATATATTTAATATTTTCAAAAAAAAATCATCATTATTTTTTTTCAATCCTGTAGGAAATATCCCTTAGGTAATATAAAGCATTATTGTGATATATTAAACAAGTCGGAAAAAAAACGAGACAAAACGAGACGAGACGAGATAAGACATTATCTCGTCTCGTCTCGTTTCGAGATAAGACATTATCTCGTCTCGTCTCGATAATGTTTTATCTCGAAATTTCGAGGCGGCAACTCTAATTCTTAGTAGGACACCCTGTACAAACAAACAAATAACTTAATACTTAAATATTCTAATACTTTGTATTGCCTCCCTCGGTTCTGTCTATAGGCGTAGGTTCATACTGTTATCGAGGATGCAAATATATTGTTTTATGTTTTCCCATTCTTCTTCAAGGACCAAGCGAATATTTATAATTTCGGCCATCTTCAACAAGATCAATGGTTTTTGCACAATCTTCTACACTAAGAACCATATTCAATCATACACAATAATAATCACCAAAGCCACCTCGTCATAATGAATAATATCATAAAAAAGTAAAGATAATTGAAAAAATTGCAAAATGTTTGTGGCAAGTTCATTTTGCTTTTAAAAATTAACCAAGTCATGTGTTGACATGAGTCAGAAAACAAAATTATCAGGAGACATGGTTCTGACCGAAAAATAATGTTATAGGAAAATTTGCTCACAAAATTATAGCACAAGGTGTTTTAAAGATAGGGTAAAAAACAACTCTTCGATTAACCCTTTATAATAAGTCAAATACTAAAGTTTATAATAAACTGAGTTTACGAATTACAGTTGATATATTTATATACAGTTCGTTAAAAAAATCAAGATAATATGGCTAAAAATAAAAAAAATATATATAACATTTCAAACTAGACTAAACATTTTTCCGTTGATTTTTTTTTACATCTGAATGTATAAAGGTGCGTACTCACTAGAGCATTTTGGTCCGAACGAACGAAGCGAGCTGGCGCGCACGAACGAACTCAATAAGGAAAAGATCGCGATGTTCAGAGTGCTTTTTGCTTTCGCTGTGTTCCCACGTTCAGTTGTATTTAATTTTTATTTCCATGTAAATAAAAAACAAGCTGTTAAGCCTGTTTTTTTTTAAATAAAAATTTGACATTTTTAACGTGATTGCTTCGTTACAGCTACGTTAGAAATCATGTGACATTTGCCAAATCTTTCCATTAAAAAAACAAGCTTTATTGTTATATTCGTTATAATTTGTGTAAATGTATCTTTTCCCGTTCAAATAGATTTTTTCCTTTCGCCTTCTCCCTTCTGAAACTTGCCAGAAGACTTTCAATTTTTTTCTTTGCTTCTCCAGAAGCACATCCCATGATCTCATCTATTTGCCTCCACGCATCAAACTTCTTAACTTTATTATAGTACAATCCATCCATTGGATTCTCCAAAGCACTGGATATTGTTCATAAATGTCTATTAACTGAAGGCACTTTTCTCTATTCTACTCCATTTCGTTTGAGCAAAGAAAAATCAAAACAATGAAAATTTTTAGCCGCGAATGCTCCGAATAGGATGAACACCATGAATGCAACGAACCTCCGTACCCACTGAACAACGCATCCCCTTTAAGCAAAATGCATGTACCGACAAGCCGGCGAAAATGTTTGGCGTGCTCGGTTCGGTGAAATTTTGCTCGCGAACACGTATTCACTTGCCGAATTCGGCTCTGCGCGTTCGACTCGTTTGGTTCGTTCGGAGCAGAATGCTCTAGTGAGTACGCACCTTAAGAACAATTTTCGTAATCAAAGAAAGAGATAATAAAATAAAAAGCAAAACTCATTTTATTTTTATTTTCAACACCTGATGCAACGTGACGTACCTAATAAATAAAGTGGATTCATCTAGTTCTGAGCATAACTAATGTTTGGCGCTTATAAAGCATCGGATTGGCGACATTTTCCCAAATTTGAATTGTTTAAGTCGAGGATGAGTTTCCGTTGTCTGTTTGCTGGATTTGGCATTGTTCCCGTGGAAAACGCTACGACTTCAATTGGAAATTTGGCCCGATGCCTTTCGGAACTTTGATTAGCCAAAATGGTCTCTAAAAAATATCCAAGTTTGTTACGTACTCTTTTAACTATTTTGAGTATTAGATAAATTGAAAAATAGAATTCAGTTATTTATTTTTGAAACATTATAATTGTACAAGCTTGCTTCAGCTACGTTTATTACTCTATTTATTATCTTGCTCCATAAAATATGTTATATGCTTCATTTAATTTTTTGTTGTTTTATTTTAATCATAAACTTTGTGCCATTAAAATACTTTAAGGTTTTTGATCTATACTTTTATCGAAATTATCAGAACAAATATTGTTGACAATGGAACAGGTAATATAGAGACAGAATTCCTTTTTTATCTGTGACGTTTGATGCAACCCATCCAATTGTAAGTATAGCTGATATTATTTGATGGTTACAAAACATCGGATTTACAGCGTATACTGTAACTGTAACTGTGATGTTACAGTGCTTGGACAACAAACTACTCACACATAATAAACATCCAAAATATCTCGGAGTTACTCTGGATAGGACGCTTACATTTTAAGAACACTTGACAAGAATGACGCACTAACAACATACTACAAAAAGTGCGGAATGCGGAACAACTTGGGGCCCATCAGCTTCCACGCCTGATGTATCTTATGGCAGAATACTGCGCTCCAGTGTGGCTCAATAGCAAACACACTCGTATAGTCGATACTCAATTAAACCGAACTATGAGCACTATATCAGGGACAATTAGACCAACACATACAATATGGCTGCCCACACTTAGTAACATAGCTCCTCCCAATTTGCACAGAGAACATGCCTTGGTCAGAGAGTTTCATAAAATAATGAATAACCCTCAGCTACAAGTCCATGATGTCGTTCAACACATCCAGGGGAATTGACTACGATCAAGACACCCTCCGTTGAAGACTGCACATGAGCTGCACCAAAATAGTTATAAATGAGCGATGGAGAGAGAAGTGGGAAAATGAAGCAGTTCCAATGTACCATGGTCTACCGTACATTATTAATTAACCTGTAGGATTCGACCCTCCCCGTCGAGCATGGAACAATTGGGAATGTAATCAGTTCAATCCCTTTTGAATGTTTATTAGGAGAAATAATTCTAGAGAATTTTTGGTAATATGAGTAAAATTAGGTAAATAAACAAAGTATCGTAGTTTATCAGAGGAATATATGTGTAGTAATTTACTTATTAGATAGCATTAACATGCACAGTGGCGTAGCTAGCATTGAAAAGGCCCTGTATCACGAATTTTGCAGGGGGCCCCTGCCGAGACAGGACCATGGGGAAGGGGGGGGGATTAAATAAATTAAAAAAACTTACCGTCTGATCAGAATAGCTTATTATTGATTAATAACTTCTACTTACAGGAATAAAATAAACATTCTTTCCAACAATAAACATAAATATCAAAACAGGGAACGTATGGTCTTTGGTAAAATTATACCTACAGAAATAAAATAAATATTCGTTCCAAAAACCAACAACAAACAAACAAACAAACATAAAAGTAAAAACAAGAAATTATTATGAAACTAAAATCAAGGAGGGTAACAATAAAATTATTAGGTATATATTTTTTTTACTGCTCGGTGGGCCCCTCAGGTTACTGGGCCCTGTATCATTGATACAGCTGATACAGCGGTTGCTACGCCACTGAACATGCACTAAAACGTTGATATGTCCAATCAGAGTGATTATTATTATTTTAACACCCAATAAAGATATAAATATAGCTGTTATATTCATTCTTTCTATATATACAATAGCCATTTTTGTTAAAATAAACATTTTAAAAGAAACTTCAAAATTAATAAATTATTTTTATTTTTTAGCACTATATATAATTTTCTCATTTGTCTCTTTTTAATATCTAACAACACAAGAAATAACACAGAAATTTATGTTTACTCTGACTTAGCTATAAGAAGTAAATGTATTTATAATATAATAAAAAATCTCTTAATATAAATATATCATAATCAGTTTAAACGTTTTAATGAAATAATTTAAAAAATAGAGTTGAAACTTAGACAATAGTAACTCTTTTCTAATTCTCTAAATAATTTTTGTGTTGTTAGATATTAAAAATTAACAAATAAATCAATAAATAAATAATGTATTTTCTTCTGTATAGCCACAAATGTCTCTGCCACATCCCACCGCGTTGACATCAGTACACGCCGCGGCCTCGCTGCCGCATTTTTTACCTAGCCCGGCTCTGGCTTCTCCGGTAGGCTCAAACTCATCGCAGCCAGCCCTGGGGGTGAGCAATCCCCCGTGCTCCACGCTGTTCGTGGCCAATTTGGGCCAGTTCGTCTCTGAGCACGAGCTGAAAGAAATATTCGCCAGGTTAGTATAAAAGAAATAAGGAAAACATTATTAATTTGAAATAAGGAAAACATATAATTTTAAAAATGCCTTTAAAATATAATATAAATATAGTGTTACATATATATTCCACACAAGTTCGAGTAGAATGTTTGGTTTATAAATATTTTTTTAATTCATTAAATATATCTCGAAATACCAACTGTGGTAAAAAAGAAGTTACTGAACCTCTTATTTGAACACTGATTTTCAAAATCAATAAAAGCGCCTAAAACTTCCAGATTTTTCCAGCTTTCTTTAGTAGGTTACAGATGAAAGTTAGAGCCTTTGGTGTTACAACAGCAAAATAAAACACTAATTCAGCACAATACACCAACGCGTTTTGCTAACCATGTTAGCATCATTAGCAGATGATTAAAACTAAACTAATATCTACAAATTGAGCGTTTATAGTGGACAGTGCTAATAATAAATTACTGCAATTATTAATATAGATATTGTATAGATATTAATAATTAAAAATGGATTAAACAACTCTCAAATTACAGACAATTAGATACATATGAGAGCATCAAAATTAATAAATGTAAAGATAGTATGAACAGAGAAAATGGTCCAATTCTTTCCAGTACCCTGTTCCTATTGCTCTAGTTTTGGTAATTAATAGTTACATTCGGTTGGTTTTGACCCGCTTGGCTAGTTTGACACGCCTATTCATTGCCGACAGAACGCCTAATAAACGCTAAATTTGTAGATTAGGTTAGTTTTAATCATCTGCTGATGATACTAACATAGTATTTCCGAAATCAATTGGAAGTACTGAGATTCTTAATTCCTTTGTCCAGACAATGCCAAAATTATGAATCCCAATCTATTCCAACTAAGTGACAGAAATACTATACTTTTCGTTCTCCAAATGTCACTTTTGACATAAAATTGAAAGTATTTCATAAAGAACTAAACTTTGATATATGTTATATGTGTTTAGAACTTCACATTTAAATTTGTATCTAAATTAAAACTTAAAAATCGTTTAATAAACCAGTTGCATTGTATACCGGGTGCGTCTCGAAAGTGGCTAGCCCCCTATAACTTTTTTATTTTTTCAGATAAAAAAAATGGGATTTGGTGTGTTAGTATATGACATAAATTAGGATTGATTGACGAATTCAATTCTGTTTGGTCACTTCCTGTTTCACCGGAAATGACTACAACTTTTGATTTTTAAATGGCACCTTCGGTATTTTTTTACGTTATTCGATAGAAAATGACACTCTGAATAGAATGACATATCATATGTCAACTTTTGACACATTCGCTTTAAAAAAAATGTTTTTAAATTTCTGTCTAGAGTGCCATGGCGATTCTAAAAACACGAATTTTTAATCAAGGAGCCTTGGAAAAATAATTTTGATCGTCTAATATTTTTCGTGTCTTGTTCTGGCCGCGACGGTTAAACGATGCTCAAATCGTATTTATAATAGAATATAATAATAGCTGATATAGTATAAAATTCTATTTAACGTGGAATATATGTGTAACACTGTATATTTAATCGAACAAATATTTGTTCATAACACACGAAACAACGACTAACAGTTAGTTAATCGGATTCAAATTAACTTTAAATGCAATATTCTAGTGAGTCATAGTAAATATACTTAAAATATCTTGACTATTCTAAATAAGTTTTTCATTACACTTTGATTCAGTTTTAATTACTTACATTATAATTTAGCATGAATTCTAAGTTTGATTAACTCAATTATTGTGAAAGTTATATTTAAAATATTATCGCACAGTACATCAGCACCTATACACATTACAGTTGCAGTAGTAGAAGCAAATTAACGGTATTGCCAAGAATTCTTAACCATTTTGTTCCATAAAATTGTTAGCCATATCAATTAATAAAAGAACAATATCTTTATGTTAAAATTACCAACTTCTTCAATCAGTTTCAAGAATATGAGACGCAAGTAATTGTTGGCAATATAAATATATTCAGTAGTATGTAAAAGTGGCTCCCATTTTATAGAGACATAGCTATATTTTGAACAAAAAAAAACAATAGTTCTGTTTGTTATCTAAAATATAATAAATAATAAGAAAATATGTTTAAATCAGAAATTTAAATGTTATTTTCCATATGTTTATCTATATAACTTATTATTTATAAAGCCTCATCCAGAACCTCGAAATCAGTGGAATAAATTAGTGGTTTCAATTAGCGTAGAAATGTGTTTCTTCATTTTCAATGTAAACATTTAAAACATCAAAATTAGTGGTAGAAAAAGTTAACAAGCTTTTAACTTTTTCCACTAATTATACTTCAAAACTTGCGAGCAATGTCAATTTGGCCTTTGATTATCATTCCTCAAGAGAAATTGTGGTTATAAAAAAAATTGATTGTGTTTTATAAGCTAATTATTAGACTTTCTCCATGGATACAACTGACTACCGGAAGCTATTCCTAGGGTATTTTATTAATTTTAATTGGATTTTTATAAACTTCGTAATTGATCATTCACTTCGTGTAAACTCATAACTATAAAGTATAATTGAAACCACTAATTTATTCCACTAATTTCGAGTTTCTTAATTAAGTTCAATCTTTATCTTAAAGCTTAAAGCTTCGTTCAGCAAATCAAAATTAGTAGAACAAATTAGTGGTTTTAATTAGTGTAGAAGTTTGTTCCTTTCATTTCAACGTAAGCATTCGGAATGTCATTAGTCGTAGTAATTTTCAATCAGCAAAAAAAGTTAAAAAACTTTTAATTTTTCCGCTAATTATACTTCAAAATTTGCCCGTAATGTCATTTTTGCTCTCGATTATCATCCGTCAATCAAGAAAGAAATAGTGGTTAGAAATAAAAAGTGTATTGTCTAATATTCTAATTATTAGGCTTTCTCTATAGATACAACAGACTATAGCAAGTTGTTATATTCTGCTAATTTTAATTGGATTTTTAGACCTTGCGAATGATCGTAAAGTATAATTGAAACCACTAATTTATTCCACTATTTTCTATTATTCCTCTATTTCTGAATGAGGCTTAACTTGTTTAATGTTTTTCGTAAATTATATTCTAATACTTTTATATTATAGACTTTCGCATTCAGAATTTTTTTTTCAAAATATAGCGTCGATGTAATATCCATCACAATAACAAGCCACCAATAGCCCAATGCGCATTAGCCTTACCGCACCACATTGAAGAACGATTTCCATTGCCATTATCCATTCTGAGTTTAACGTCAGCAAAGCTACTTAAACTATTTTTTTTAATGTTTGAAGCATCAACTGTTACATAACAAATGTTCTTTCATTTTCTTATTAGACATCAATATTTTATGTCTCAATTACACTCTTTTTTTTTGGTGCCATAATAAAGTATGTTTAGGTGCCCGGTGGCTTAGAGGTACAGCTCTCTTCTGTCAATCTCAAGGTTGTGGGTTCGAATCCTACAGACGGCATTTCATCAGCCGACTATTTTTATTAAAATAAAAATAGTTTGGGTACCTAGGTCGACTCAGCCTTAAATGAGTACTTGGAATTCACAATCCTGAGGTAATAATAGGCGGTTGAAGCGTCGTGCTAGCCACATTACCTTTTTTGTATACCGAACGGCTCTAGCATGGTAAGCTGTACCTATATACGGGAGCTATTATTATTATATAAAATATGTTTTCATCTATAACAATTGTTTTGCCAGCCAATAAATGTAGGTATAGACCAATAAAACTCGTTAATATAAAATGCAATTTTGAGATCAATAACGAAAGAGATGTATCAGATTTAAGCTGTTTACGCTACATTCACTTAACGGTTAACATTATTTTTAAGATCTACTTAAGGGAATTTTTTTGCATATATTCAATATTGTCGTTAAGTCACATTTATGTAATAATAACTCCAGTATATAGCATTTAACGTCTTGGGAGTAGCCAGATACAGCCTGCCATACTAAAGCCGTTCGGTATACAAGAAAGGTAATGTGGCTAGCATTACGCTTCAACCGCCTATTACTACCTGAGGATTGTGAATCCCAAGTACTCATTTAAGGTTGAGTCGACCTAGGTACCCAAACTATTTTCATTTTATTAAAAATAGTCGGTTGCTGAAATGCCGGCTGTGGGATTCGAACTCACAACCTTTGAATTGGTAGACGAGAGCTCTGTACCTCTACGCCACAGGGCACCTTAAGTCACATTTAAAAAGCGAATATTTTAAGTTGCATTTGCACCTCAGCGTTAATAGGTTATAACCGTTATAACTGGGTATACCTTAACTACATTGACGAAATGATATTTCACGAAAAGTTTGAGTGTCGGATTTTTTATTTATAATGCATCTTTGAAACAACTAAAATTACTTCACTAAGTTTAACCAAACTTCAAGATTGAAAGTATTGTAGAATGCGCGAGGAATAAAATGGTTAATTGGAATATTTTGATGGTCCGTTCAACGTTTTGCAGTAAAAACATCAGTTTTTGGTAGACTACAAAATGTTTTCGATATTTAGCTAAATATTAGTCAAATGAAACCTGTGAAAAAAAGCCTTTAATATTTAGTGTCACCCTTATCTAAAGGAAAAGTTTAAGGAACACCTATACAAACGTCCGGTATAAAGACACTATACTAATAAAACTCAGAATGAGTATTAGCTATTAGAAATCGGTCTTCGCCTTTTACTATCACCACCACCGGCCCGCCACTAGCCACCACCAGAACACCAGCCACGAGCATCCACCCACCCGTCTCTCTCTTTCTCTTGCACAGCTTCCCCGGCTTCTGCCGCCTGCGCGTGCACGCAGCCAAGCCCAACGGCGCATCGGCGGCCACGCCCCCCTCTGCGTCCGCCTCGGCCACGCCCACGGCCACGCCCAGCGGCGCCTCGCCCGTCGCCTTCGTCGAGTACAGGGACGCGGGGGGCGCGGCGCGCGTCCTCAGCCAGCTGCAGGGCTCCTTCCTGCTGTCGTCGGACCGCGGCCCCATTCGAATCGAGTACGCCAAGACC